GAAAACGGTGCTGTATGGATAAGAGCTTGTTGCACTGTTTTCTCAAAAACCACTTTTTATTTTTTTGTCATCAATGCTATCATATAGGATATTTTCTGGGGAAATAATATTGGTTTTGTTTGGTATCAGTGCTGTATAATTATTTTCAACATGATCTATATTATCCAATACTTTAGATGATGCCACATGGGTGCCACGTCATTGTACCATTGGTAACAACAGTTTTGAAAGCAAGAAAATGCCAAATTTGATGTCTCAAACTATGCCTTCAGGATTTTTAAATATGGTTTAGAGCAACATTTTTTTTATGAAAACATAACCAACATCTTTTCATTTTCTAAAGTACCATTTTTTCTGATGTGACACTTTTTTTAGGGCAACGACATCGATGTCAAACATCCCATAGTGTAACCAATCACAAGTACACACGTATTCTCCACATATGGATTCATACTCTTGTGTACGGAACATTGATGTGTGTGCACTCGTGATTGTTTATATAATTATATATGCATGGTGTGGCAATCAATAGACCATCCAACTAGTTCCTAATACCAAAGATAAAAAATAAGGGTAGAGGTAGACCTCCTTGGGTAGATATTTATAGAGAGAAAAGATCTAACAACCCTAGTCCTATTCCAATAAGGAAAACCCTAGTTTCCAATTCCATGAAGAATTATATGCTGCTTTGGCATCCTTAATGCCATGTGGTAGAATGCATAGTTGACCATGACAGCAATAGGCAATCTTCCTTCTAAGATCTATTTCTTTTAAGGTTAATGAGCTATCAAAACGTTTTATCATGATGATCTTGATTAGATCATAAACCTCTACGTATCATTAGTAGTAAAATACATATATAATATATTATCATCATTATCATCATCACTACCAACAACACCATCATCTAAGCCTTGCCCCTATTATAAAGCTTGGATTGACTTCCCATAGAGCAGGCCTCACTTGCTCCCCACAACACATCTCAGTCGTGCATATTGGGAACATCTCTCCATGTGTGTGGCACACTTAGTGGGGAGCCAATGTGAATTCTCGAGTATATGGGGTTGAAGGAAGGAAGAGTATGTGCCATGCATGTGTGCAAGTAAAAATAAAAAAAGGGTAAAAAAATTAAAATATATTTTAGATTTTGTAAGATATTTTAATTGTGATTCTTTAAATGTTTAAAATCGATTATTAGATTTGAGGATTAAAATATTTGGACAATCACCTATTGCAAGCATTGAGATTATATGATGCTACTAAAATATTGTGATTTTATTGTTATGGCCTAGACGTGAAGCTAAGCCAAGTATTGACATTATATAGTAAGAATATTTATAAATTTTAAAGTAAAACTCAGTAAATGCCAAATTATTCAAAGACGCAAAAAAAAATATGGGATTTCATAAATAAAGTATAAAGAACATGGATTTTAAAAATATGGGGAACATAATTTTCAATATACATTTATATTATAAAAGAAGGAGAAGGGCATTAAAACCCAATAGCAACCCAATGTAAGTGTGGAATGAAAAAGGAGAGGTAGGTTTATTATGGTTGACTAAGTATATGTTTGGCATCAATGCTGCAAATGCATGCTGCCGATGTGTGGGTTGGAAGCACTGATTTTTTAGAAAACGGTGTTTTTTTTTTGTTTTGAACCGTTGCTGCCAGGTAGGATGTTTCTTGGAGCGACAATAACTTTTTTCTGTTTGATACGAATGCTCTAGGAAACTTTTTTTGCACTTCTACCCATTATCCAATGCCACATCACTGCCCTGTTAGCAACAACGAGCTGGAGATTCAGGAAACGTCGAATTTGGTGTTGCTCTAAGCCATGCCTTCCTGATTTTCAAGGCGTGGCTTGGAGCACCATTTTTTCCTACATGGCGCTGATGTGGCACCGGAGCAATGGCAACGGTTCCAAAGAGACGCTAAATTATTTGATAAGATAATGAACACAGAGAAAAAGCTTGATGAATGGAGAAAAAAACTGTGGTGCCTATATTTAACAATAATGATGATTGTAATGATTGTTATGGAATTAAACTTATAAATTACATTATGAAACTTTGGAAGATAATAATTGAGCATATTTTACAACATAAAAAATATGGCAAAATCTATGATACAAAAATTGCACTCTAAAGTAAAAAAAGGTGAACCAACAATAAAGTGAGATATCATATGTGACATACATCTCGTTAAATGTGAACCAACGAGAAGTAAACAAAGTGACGTTTAACATCTTTAATGTGATTGATCACTTTTTTTATTTATTGTGCAAATTCTTCAATTAGTATTTTAGAAAAAACGATTTGGGTTTATGCCAAAGAGATCTTTTAATTAAGATGGTTGATAGAAAAATTTAGAGAGAATAAGAGAGATCTTCATATAGTTTTCCTTGATCTAGAAAAGAAAACCAATGTTAAATAGGTACGTGGACTTAATTAAAGATATGCATAGGGTGTAAAAATCAATGTTAAAATACTTCTTGGAGAGACATCAGATTCTATAGTTACAATGGGTCTTAACTAATAGTTACAATGGGCCAAGAGATAATTCAATGTGACCTCTTATTTTACCTTGTTTGAATAATTAATAACAAATGAGAGATTAAGTAGGATGTCATTCATAGAATTAAAGCACGATGGGCAAAATGGAGGGGATGCATTTAAAATCTTAGTGACAGGCGAATGTCACCTTGGTTAAAAGGAAAATTCTTTAAAATAGTTGTAAGGTTGGCATAAAAAATACCTGTAAAGTCAATTACATGGTTTTTAAAACCAAACTGGTTAGGGGTCCGTTATCGGTTTGAATGGTCGGCCTGTTCTGACAAAAAAAAATAAAAAAATGAAAAACAGTCAAAATCGTTCGAATAGTTAACCGGCCCGTTCAATGGTTTGTTGACCAAAATCAACGGTTTTGGGGGAAAACCAAACCGATCAGGTGACCGGTTCCCGATTTTTCCGGTCCGGTCCAGTTTTGAAAACCATGGCCAATTATGTTGTATGGAGTAGATTGTTAGGCAGTTGAGAAACATGTCCAAAAAATTATATGTGACAGATATATGAATGCTTGCTTAGTCTTAGATGGGTGAATGGTAAAACTAGGTAAGAAAGGTTAGAAATAAAATGGTATAAAGGAACCTAGCTCCAATAGGTGATAAAATGTGAGAAAATATATTGAAATGATTTGATCATGTGCATAGAAGACCATCTATACACATATTAATGAAAAGTGATATGTTACAAGTTGAAAGGGCTAAAAGGGATGGGGGCAAACTGAAAAGGACTCAACAAAACAAGATTCATATAGTTAAACCCCATATAGTTGGGACAAGGCTTAGAAGATGACGATGGCATACATTTACATGAAAAAATATGCTAAAATTTTCATTTAGTATTTTTTATTTTTAAAGATAACATATTAAACACTTATTTACTTTTAATCAACATTGGTAATGGCTTTTTTAATCTTTTTACCATACAAATGCATATTGACAACTGACAACTTTTGTCGATAAGGCTGGTGAGCCCCTTTATAAAGAGAAGTTGGGGAAAGGTTGGAATTTGAAATTGAGAGAATAAAATTAAATAGGCTCTGCATTTGCGAGTGGAGTCCTGTGACGTATTGGGAAGCATAAAGGAAGAAGAGCATTGTATTTTTTTTAAAAATAAATAAACCTGTAAGATGCCAACCAGTTGGTTGATAAGGTCTACTACTTGTCGTATCTAGTGGAGAGTTGGGATTGAATCCTGTTGGATGGTTGAACCTCCTAAACGTCGTATTTTAACAAACTACTAACCTGGATGGTTGAACCTCTAGAATGTTCGACCCAGACAACAGTTTACAGGTCAATTTTATAGTTTAACTAATTTTTATTTTTTAAGGATCCATTGGTTCACAATCAGAAGCAGAATCGTTATTGGAATTAAAATCCGTCAGAATTGAAATTGAAATGATCTATTGCCTGTTCAGAAAATAATCTAATGGGAATCGAAATAAACTGAAATGAGATCCCAAGGGAGGGGGAAGGAATGTCCATTCCATTCTCTCAAATGGGGAATGTCATAATATCAGGAATGGGAATAAGAATATAAGATTCCAGTTCTGCCCAACCAAACATTTGGAATTGGAATGTCCCATTCCAGTTCCGATTCCAGACCCCTATTCCTTGCAAAGAGGTATCGGATATCCATAGCAATAGCATGAACCAGAATGCCAAATTTAATAATATCTCATCTTTTTCCATTTTTTCCTTTGCTTTGCTCACTCTTGAGGCACTCTCTACCTCAGATTTTCAAAGAATAACCCATCACTCCATTTCAGGAGTTTCCTGAAATGCCTGCATCTGGCTCTCTGGATTTTCCATCATCTGCTCATCACAAATGAAGAACTGGTTATCAATAGAAGGAAAATTTTATGCCAGGTGGTCCTGTTCTCTATGCATTTAGAAGATAAACAGACCCTCGCACTAGCTTCATCGAATCCCTTGAGAGCATTTTCCCCAACCTCATGAAACTAGCCATTGTCAAATTCCACAAACTGGGTTAGATAAGCAGATCGCTCATCTAAGTAATCTGCAAATCTGATTTTCTGGGATTTTAAGCACCATAATATTAGCGAATAGCCCTTGCTTTTGAGCATCTCCATCAGGAGGGAAAGGTTCGGGTCCATCATCAATAGGCTTGCACAGAGAAAAGATGGGATTTTCCTTCCATGGTAGTTTCTTCCTGTAGACAAATGCATGTGCAGTGGGAGAGAAGGGGGTTTTCAAAAGTAGTGATTTTAGAACCTCTCGTCTTTGGATCAACTGGATTTATCAACTCTTTTACCACTTCTCTGATTATTGAAAAGTGAAGGGAAAGTGCCCTTCATTTCATGAATTTATTGGAAAACACTATGCCATACTGTCGTTTCTGGCTTTCTGTTTGTGCTGGCCTTGAACAAATCTGATTAACGTAGTTCATAATTTATGGACAGTATGTCTTACTCTGTTAAAAAACGAACTTGATGCTAGTCAGACAATCTTATTTCTTAACAATCTCTATAAAGGATCACTTACACTGATCGACAGTCAAAAGGTGAAATTGAGTGAAGATCATGGACTCGTTTTTCACCTCCCAAATGTTTAATTACATACCGTTCAGACTTGACAATGTGGAGGCAGTAGAAATTCAGCTAAGAGCTTGTATTTCAGATGGAACGTAATGCCAAGATCACTCCACATCGTACCCTTTCTCCTGGAGCTCTGATATGACTTCGTTCCTCATCCTTAACCATAGTTTCTGAGCTTCTTGCTCGAACTTCTTCGACTGTAATTTCTTTTGAAAATTCTCGGAGTCTTTTCCCGATTCGATAAATCCTCTGGGACCAATGGTGGTGCCAAGAGCGCCCCCACTCGCAATAAACTCCTCGACTGCCTCTTTGTCGCCTGGGTACGGAAACCTCCTGCGCTCATACAGATGGGCCATCTCTTTCTCTTCCTTAGGTCGAGGTTTCAGCGTCCACCAACCGAGCGGAGATGTTTCATTCCACAACCAAGCCGCGCCGAACACTGTGTAGGTACAGAGTAGAGCTTTGCCTATCTGTTTCCAGAAGTAGTAATCCTCCTTCCCCAGCCCTATTTTCTTCAGAAACTTCTGGGCACTAGATAATTTCGCCATGACAAGAACCTCCAGATCAAGTCTCTGGGCGAGACATTTCTTCGAACAATCAGAAGACGTTCATTGAAATGAGAAAAAGGAAAAGCAAAGATCTCACGAAAGTTAGGCGCTGACGAAAAGTTGCAAATTTAAGATGAGGAATCATACCTGCTCTTTCTTCTCGATGAACTCTGAAGAAATAAATCGGGATCGTGTGGAGGATCTCGATTCGTTTAAGTGGTAGGCACGAATTACGAATGATTAACTGATAATCAACGGATTAAAAGTCTCCCAGTCTCTCCCTTAGCTATCTGCAAAATAAATGTGGGAAAATTCTCTATTTCCATTTTAGTCTCTAAATTTAAAATGCATTAATTTAGTATCTAAACTTTCAAAACGTGTCAATTCAATACCTACCGTAATCAACAGTTATTCAGCCGTTAAGTAGCATTTGAAAAAGGTATAAATGCCCTTCAAGTGTTATCTAATTTTCTTTGTCAACTATCCGGACGTTGACAAAAAAATTAACAATCCCAAATCTTTATTTCTTCTATTCAAGAAAGTTGGGATCATTCTAAACCCCAACTTAAAAGAGGCAAAGATTTAGGAATATTGATTTTTTGTGTTTGGATGGTTGATAAAAAAATTAAATGACACTCGAAGGACAATTGTGTTTTTTCCAAAGGCCATTTAATGGTTAGTTAACAATCGATTAACGATAGGTACTGGATTGATACGTTTTGAAAGTTTAGGAAATGAATTATCATATTTTAAAGTTCAAGGAACCAAAGTAGCACTAGGCCCAAATACAAAGTACTGATCAGGAATTTTCTCAATAAATATTGAAGGAAAATTATTTAAAAATACCTAAACCTTCAATCTATTTTTTCTTGAAAACCTCCCATGTATTTTAATCTTCACAAAAACCACCCTTTACGTTTCAATTAAGGGCCTTATTTCGATTTTGTCATGGTTGAACACTCACCTCTTCAATTTCAAACCTAAACCTTAAATTCTAAGGCGGTATTAAGTAGTGTGTTCATCTCATGGATGGACCATTTCGATCCATGCCATGGGATGAACATGCAATTCAGTTAGGCGTGGATGGGACCAGTCCACACTATATCGTGGACCGGCCTTGTCCACACCTCAAAATATTGGCAACGGGTATTTATCGTGAAAGGGCTCTATCCATAGCTTATTTTTTATATTGTGTTTCATATTCACAATCGAAACCCTGCATTTTACAGTTAACCCCTCCACCACTGAAGCGGTCTGCCACTGTGCTCTACCCCAAAGGGAGGTCTCCTCCACCGAAGCGCTCCTCTGAGCTTTCTCCACCGTTTCTTTTTCCTTCGTTTATGTTGTTGATATTGATTTCAATGGTGCTACTCCCTCTTTTTCCACTACTATTTCTTTTTCTTTCTAATTCTTCATCTTCTCTTGCGGTTCTTCTCCTGAACACCCCCACCAAAATATAACTTCGAGTTTCCAAGTTCTGAAACCTTTTCGTCCACAATCAACAACACCTTTCCAATTCTAGAAGTCAAAGTAAAATCCTTTGAAGAGAACTCTTATTCGAAGGACAACCCTCTACGAATCACCAGTTCTAGAACCCCCTCCAGCGAAACTACAATATAAAAGATTTGTGATATGGATCACTAAGCATGATTCATCACATTAGCAAAGAATCTTCATGTTATGAAAGAATAACCAAAGAACAACCGCAATTTTCTTCATGTTGTCCACACGATCTATGGATAGATGTTGTTTTTCCTTGAAAAGAGAAAAAAAAAAGTGATGGGCATTATGAATGAGGTCAGGGAAGGCTTAGAAAAACCTAGGTTTTAGAAGTGAGAAAAAAAAAATTGATAGATCTTGTGTTTTGTTTTCTTTTTTTTTTTATCAATAACACAATTTATTAATTGTCACAATAATTACAGAGAGGAAGACAAACTTTATTATCTTCCAACTACATCATGGGCTCCAAGAGAAGAAACAAAGAGAAAGAGAGAACAGAAAAAGAACAAAATTAAATTACATCTGTGCCTAGAACATGACACCTCTGTCCACCCCTTGTTTAGCTAACCCATCAGCAAAAGAATTAGCTAGGGGTGCAAGTCGGGCGGGCTGGGGCGGGTTTTAGCTCAACCCAGGCCCAACCCTAAGAATTAGACCTAAAGCCCGAGCCCTGCCCAAGCCCGAGGTCAAGCTCGAATTATTCAACCTAAGCCCAGCCCGCACTAAAATTTTAGGCATTCAAGTTGGGCACGGGCCTGAGCCAAACTTTAATTGGTTAATCAGCCCAAAGGCCAAAGCCCAAGATTAAAATTTAATCAGCCTAATGAGTTTTTACTCATTTTGGGTTTCCTTAATTAATGTTGTCAACTTGCCATAATGGCATTTGAATTAAAAGAATTTGAAAGTTAAAAGAATTTGAAACGTCAAAGTCTCATAGACACACAAAGAGTGAAAGAGGGAAATCGTGTTTAGAAAAAGAAACTTAAGAAACTAATTAATGACTTTGAGTAATGGCATTGACAATTGACACATGGCACCTAATATTAAATTAGTAATTTACTAATTAAACAACTACAATTAAGCTAACATAGTAATATATTAACATATGATTCATTGATTCAACTATATATTACATGTACAATACATTGGACCGGGCTTAGGTTACCCGAGCCCAACCCAAAAAAAAAAAATAAAAATATGCCTTTTCAAGCCCAAGCCCAACCTGAGGCCCAGAAAATCTAACCCAACCCGTGAAAAAAATCGAGTTGGACTGGGCCGGGCTCGGGTTAAGCCCGTCCAAGTTGCACCCCTAGAATTAACTGATTTTAACTTCCATTTCTCGAACTAGGCATCTGAATTTCCTTTTCAAATTACTATAACTCCATTATTTAAGGGAAGATATGTCCCTGTCCACCCCTTGTGTTTTGTTTTCATTATTTAACAGAAGATATGTCCCTAGATTGTGCTGAATGGATGAATAGGACTTCTGCCACTTACACCACTTAGGTGAGATCCAACATGAGCTAAGGTAGACAAGGTGAGGAATTTCCATTTTAGGAGAAATTTTAGTTCTTCAAAATGAGAAGTTTCATCAGAAATTCTAAGATGGAGAAGAAACATTAGGCTCTGTTTGGTTTGTGTGAAGATTTGGGTGGGATGGGAAAGTGTAAAAATTTAACTTTCCAGTGTTTGGTTTTATATATGGGAAAATAAAGGAAAAGCATTGTTGGTTCACCGCCGAAAAAGCATTGTTAGTTCTTCGTCGTTGCCTGGTTCGCTTCGCCGCTGCCCAGTTCTCTTTTCCGCAGATCTAGTGAAGACGGGAAGAATAAGAGTGCCCCTCGCAGATCGCCGCAAATCTGGTGAAGACAGAAAGAAGGTGAGGGAGAAGAGAGAAGACGAGGATGGAGGGAGATCGACGTTGCCCCTTGCACTGGTTCCTTGCCAGGTGAAGAAGATGGCCATTAACAGTGGTTCTTTCGATTGTAATAGTGCTTTCCCAAATTTTTCCACTAGGGTCGCACGGTTTTGGTGCGACCCCAAATCCACGATTTTGGGATCTGACATCCCACATTTTTCTCATCCCACCCCTCTCTTTCCGTCAAAACAAATGAGAAAAAAGAATATTTTCGAAATATTCCCTTTTTCTCATCCCCATCCCACAAACCAAACGGAGCCTTAGGGAAAATGGAATGCTTTCTAAAACTTGAAAACTTGTTAGCATATGCAAATTAAATACTTAAAAATTAACAGCAAACAACAATCAAGGCAAGTGTCTTTGTTGAAGGGTAAACAGAAGATAAAAATAATAATTTTTATTTTTTAAATTATTTTATTACAATTTTTGTTGAAATTAATATTCAATTGTCAAAGCCTTTTTTTCATTTTATTTATCATATAAATTATAAAAATTAGACATTTATGATCAACTAATTGTATATGTGATACGTAGAATCATAGTTATCAAGGCGACGCCTAGGTGGGTGACGAGGCGCCCTTGGCTGGGCGCCTTGCCCAAACGCCTTGACTTTTAGCAACTAGGCACCCTTCTAGGCGACTAGGCGCCCGCCTAGATGATTAAGCAGGCAAGGCAGCAACAAAAATGACAAGGCGGGCACGTTTTATAATATCACTTATATTGTTGTATCTTATTAATGTATGTGTTAATACATTTTATTATATGCTATATATATCAATTATATTTTGTTTCAATATTTTACTATTGAAATTTAAAAGATCAAAGGGATTTGAGAAGAGAAAAAGAAAGAAAGAAAAAAAAGAAAAGAAAAGAAAAGAAAGGGGAAAGWAACAATAGAATAATAAAGTTCTTTTTTTCTATTCTCTCTCTAATTAAATAAAACAGAAACTCAATCCTTGTTTTCTTTTTCTATTTTACTTTCCATCTTGAATATTTATCATATAAAGTTAATAACTTTCTTTAGCTGCTAATTAATATGAATGTGCTCTATTAAATACTTATTATAGTAGTATTATTTTTGAAAATAATGAAATTAATAAATGTAAACGATTTTTATCTTTTAGATGTGATGTTTTGCCACATTTTTAGAGGAAATTTAATGTTCTTAATAAAAAGAATTATTATTTTTCAATTAACATACATGTTGAATGGTATATAAAGCTAGGAAACTAGCCAAAAGTTAGTTTTTCATATTATAAAATTTTTATCGCCTAGGCGCCCGCCCAGGTGACTAAGCGATTAGGTGCCCCAGTGTCGCCCAGAATCGCCTAGACGCCTTGAAAACTATGCATGGAATCAAAAAAGTGTGGTGTGGATTGGTCCACACCATGCCTACAAAATGCCACTATGGATGTGGACTGGTCCAATCCACAATTCAAAATAGTTGTGAACTGTGGTATGGTGTGGATTGGTCCCTACCACTAGGTGTGGTGTGAACCAGTCCATACTACCCAACTTCTCATCCACACTATAGAACATCCCCTAAACCAATCCCTAAACCTAATAAAAAGCTCTAAACCCCAAAATTAAAATATAAATTACATTTGGTTAGATGCACATCCTCTAACCAATTAGGAACTAAATCATTTTCCAAATATGCAAACAAAATTCTTTCCTTAGGGCACATTCCTATTCCTTTTTTAAAGAAATGTTGGGGAAAGTTGGTCACATTAACTAACAATCTCATGTTTCTTTTTGTGAATTAACACAAGGCTTATGAAAAAGTTACCTTCCCTAGCTATCCCAAGCGGGGAGGAAAGTGAGTTCGCAGTCTGTGCATCCATGGGTGCACTAGATGTGTGAACCCGCCAATCGTTTTCAACCATGTCATCCATCCAAATGTTAATGGTTAAATGCACATTAACATGGGTTTGGCGGTTCAATTGGGCACGAACCAGCCACAACATGACCTATAGGTGCATCAAAAGTCCCCCAAACCTCATATTGTGAGATTTTTCCCATGGAAGTTTTCCTCCTTCCACCAAACCCTCCCTCCATCGGCGGTGACAAGGATAGCTCTGGTGACAAGGAAGTTTTCATCATTATTCTTCCTTTTTTTGATGGAAAATTTTCATCATTATTCATTATCATGAAAACCCACAACAAAAATCTCTCTCTAAATTTTCATCATGATTCCCTTCAATGAAAGAAATTTTCAAAAGAAAAAAGAGAGCACTTATACAAAAGAAGTTATTATCCGAAAGAGACCTCAACCATGTATATGATCTATTTAAGTTGTAGGTTGTGTTAATTACATGCTTAGTATTCTTCACTCTTGACTTGATGCAGTTACATTATATCATACTCTTGACTTATCTTTTAGCTTTCAAACCAATGTCTTGAGGCTGAGGTTTTAAGTAAAGAAAACCCTGAAAACCTTGTGAGTGGGCTAATTGAAAGACAGAGAAAAGGCGAGGAACACTTGGAAACCCACAAGAAATAGCCATGAGATCTATGAATACCAGAAAGGAAAACAACAGAAAAAAGAGGAATGGAAGGTGGTTGCAACACTGACACAACCAAGCCAGCAACTAAGAGGGAATAGTTTCTGAGGTTGAGTTAGAATAGAAATAACTCCAATCAATCATAGATTCAAACCAAAACTAAGGAAATCTGAAGATGTGCATCTCAAACTTCTTTTCTTCTATGATGTATACCAGATTTCAATATGGAGGGCATGAGGTGGGAGGCCATGGCAAGACTTCAGGGGGGATCTGGCAATTCAAAGGGCTCAGAGCTGCAACACTGTAAATAGATATGGACATGCTACTCGTGCAAGAATGGATTCCACCCACCATGTTACCAACTTTAATGTCCTCGCTTTCTTCATCTTCACTAGGAAGACGATGGAAAGTAGGGTTAATAAAAGATGCTACAACTACAACTACGGTGCTCCTAGTGATGAGTGACCCTGCAACAGTCCCTCCAAACACTTTCCCGTGACCTCTTGCAAGAGAGATAGTAAACAGAGATGATTTCGCAGAGGAAGATGAAACGGTGACCTCTTACAACAATCCCTCCAAACATGGCTCAATCGTTGTCTCTGGTAATAACGATTGGTGGCTTCAGTTTGTTCTTTGACCCAAGTGGTCAGCCTCTCAGTTTCCAAACAACTTTCACTGTTCGACCCAACATCTCCCCCGATTGAACCACCAAATTCACGTTAACGTTCATTTCACCGTTAACATTTGAATGGACGACGTGGTCGAAGACAATTAACAGGTTCATGCGTCCAATGCACAGAATGCGGACTCGAGGGAAGTTACCAGCACATAATGGGGGCAATATTATCCCTTTTTGTTTTGTATTTTTTAAAAATAAAATAAGGGTAAATTTCTTAAACCACCCCTACTGTTTAGCTAATTGACTAAGTGTACCCTTACTGTTTGAAAATTAACTAACACTACCCCTGTTGTTTCTGACAATTGACTAATACTTCCCTTACCGTTAGCTCCCATTAATAGAAAGACAAAAAAAACTATTTTACCCCTACTGTTTCTGAGAACCAATGAATGAATCATCACACCCTTCATCTTCTTTCTTCTTCAGCAATGTAGTGCTCTGTTGAAGAAGTAGAGAACGAGTGAACCAAATAAGAGCGACGACAGTGGTGGCAACCCCCTCTCTCAGAACTGTATGCACATTGGGCCTAGAAAACTCAAAAATGAAAGCCCACAGACCGAAGGACACTTCTTTGCTTCTTCAACAGAGCCTGTGAAACCCCCTGTTCGGTTCAATTGTTCTCTTTCTTCATTGCCGCTGGTTCACCGGAGGACCCTTCATTGCGGTGACGACAGCCCCCTGTGAAACCCCTCTCTCTTTCTCTCTCTTCTTCCTTTGGGCGACGACGACGACAGCGGCAACCCCCTGTGACACCACTCTCTCTTTCTCTATCTTCTTCCTCTGGGCAACAACACTCCATGTTCAGATCCGCCGCCGGCAATGACCCTTCTTTGAACGAAAACAGAGGTGAACCAACGGCATCCCTCTGTCCATTCTCTCCCATTTCTCTCTCTCTGTCCATTCATCTTTTTCTTGTTCTTCAGATCCCGATAAATCATCCGAAATATTGTCGACCTCTGCTTAAACCATAAACAATAATGACAAATTTCTCTCCGATCTCTCTTCTTTTCTCACACTTCCTCTTCTTTTTTTTTCTTCTCAATCTTCTCTCCTCCACGTCCTCTCTCTCATTTTATTGTAGCATCATCGTCGCCGCTGCTGCAACTCATCTGAACACGGGGGATCATACAAGAAGAGCTTGAAGAGCTTTGAACACGGGGGAGCATACGAGAAAAGCGATTTTCATTCGAACATTGAGACCAAAGACAGGAGCGACAACTGGCGAAGCATGTGCATGATAATGATAAGAGCGGTTTTAAGTTGGACACTGAGACCAAAGACGAGCGATGACTGTTGAGCAATTGCATTACAAATCCGCACTGTTCATCTTTTTAATATGACGAAAACAAGGGCGACGACTGCAAGTTCTCTCTCTGATTTCTTCTCTCTATTCTCTCTCTTCCTATTTTTCTCTCCCACTTCTTTTTCTTCTTCTAGAGAAAGAAGGAGAAAGAGAGACTAGAGGCAGAGGGGAAGGTTTGAGAGAGAAGCAGAGGTGGAAGGGGTGGTCTGAGAATAAAGAGAGAGAGAGAAAGAGAGAGTGGGGGTTCATGGCACGAGGGTAATATTAGGTTTTGAAAAAATTTTATAAGTCACATGGGGTTCCATGTGCAGAGATTGTGACGAAACACTAACGGATGTTAACTACAGGGGTATAATTAGTCAATTATCAGAAACTGTAAAGATAGTGCTAGTCAATTTTTAAATAATAAAGATACACTTAGTCAATTAGCTAAACCAGTTTAAAAAATTTACCCATAAAATAATCATTATTTCACTCACCTTAAAAATAAAAGAACACAGTAAATGATCAAAAGAAAAACGACCGCTCGGTGAATCAGTGAATGCTAGGGTTTGGAAATTTTAATGCCACGTGACGCTAATCAGGATTCAGGAGGTTTATACAAACTGTTTTAGGGGTTTAATCGAACCGTGGGTTTTATTGAACCGAACCGCTCAATTCGGTTTCTTTAAAAATCTAGCCAAAAATGAACCGATGCAATCTGTTAACCGGTTAACCGCATTACGTTTTTTCAGTTTTTAACTTTTTTTATATTAAAAAAAAAAAACATGTTACCTGAGAACTTGGACGGCGGAGCGGTGGCCGAATGCAAATTGGCTGGTGGGCGATGGCCTGGGAGAACCAATTGCTGCTTATTGGGGGCGGCGGCGGTGAAGTAGTGAAGCCGGAAGGCTGAAGCTTTGGTAGAGAATAAAATGGAGATGGAGGTTTTGGCGTGATTGCGTATCTGAGATATGAGAGAGAGAGAGGGAAGGGAGAAGCAGGGCAGCGGCGAAGCGCTGAAGCGGTGAAGCCGGCCGTGAAGGTTAAAACGTTGGCGCCTTCGCGGAGAAGAAAATGAAACAGCGAGAAGAGAAGGGAGAAGCAGGACGGCGACGGTGACTGAAACGTTGGTGCCTTGACGGAGAAGAAAATGGAACCGCTAGCAGAGAAGGGAGAAGCAGCAAAGCAGGGCGGATGAAATAGTGACTGACTGACTGTGAGGGGGGACGAGGACCACCCTTGCGGTTGTGAGTTGTGACGCCGACGCCGCCGCCGAAACAATGACCGTGAGTGAAGACAAGGACCAGCGCCGGAGGAGAGGACTGATTTAGTGATTTAGGGTTTTTCTCAGTTTTTGATTGAAAGAAAGGGAAAACAGCTAAGAAATCGCGGGGAAAGTGAAAAGGGTCGACTGGCGAGCGGTATATTTTGATTTAAAAAAATAAAAATAATATATATATATATATATGTATAATATGATATAATATTTAATATATATCGATTTGGTTAATTGCGAGTTTTTTATATTAGTTAATAGAAACTGAACCGATCAATTTAATTAATCGAATTTTCGATTTGGTTTCGATCAGGTTTTTCAGTTCGATTTTTCTTGCTACTACTGCTTTGTGGCTTATGTTACGAGCTAAACGGAAAGATTTATACAGGAAAATAACTTCGAGGGTGTGATCCTTGGAGTCTTTGTGTTTACAAGGGTAAAGGTTTTTGGGGAGGAATTTGGATCATGAGATCACCTCCTAATCTCATGATAAAATGTGCTGTGTTAGGTCTAAATTGGTAAACGGTTGGAACGTGTATTGTTGGTAGGAGATCCCAACTCTTCACGGAGGAGAGGCACTGCATTTTCAATAACTCTGCGAAGTGTTAGGGCAGTCCACATAGGTGATCAAGCCAGGCATATGTCATGTAGCCAACCCAGTATCTATTAATTAAATTAAAATTTTAAAATACATATACATCTAACAGAGGTTTTACCTAATGGCAATCGTGTAGGTCTTGACTTGCAAACCCCTCCCTCTCCTCTCCTCCTTTTGACTTTGAAAGAAGAGGTAGCTCCCTTCCTTTACCTACCTTTTCTTTCAAACCAAACACTATTAATTTTAGGTTTTACTTCTCTTTGTTAATTACTTAAGTAAAACAAAACTTTAAGGCTGAAGCACAGTAAAAACAAAAATGAATCAAAATTTGCAATCGCATGCATTTGCAATAGTGCTAATTAAATTGCATTGCAAACAAACAGAACCATACACGTACAAAATACAAAAAACTCATTCTCAAATAATGCTAACACCGTGTTTGGTTGCACAGAAAATGAAAGAAAATAGTTTTCTTTTAAGAAAGAGGGGGGTTAGTTTTACTTTGTCTCACTCTTCACTATTTTCCTCTGATTTCACTACCTTGTAGGAAAGAAAATATCTACCTCCCAATTTGTTAATTTCCTTTTTTTCATCTCTTTTATCAGGTAAAGTAAACCACTTTCTTTTAGACTATGTTTGGTTCGAAGTAAATCACTTTCTTAAAGGATATGCTTAGTCCTTCTAACCAAAAGCAGCCTTAGTTTCTTTCCATTATTTATTTATTTTTGATAACCAAACACAATAACAAACTCGTAGGAATGAGAAAATAAGAATTGGAAAACACTTCAGTCAGGACTAAAAATTTAACAGGTTTTCCCTAACAAATTCACATGCATTTGAACCCCCAAAGCATTCAACAGAAATTTGAGAACTGGACAAGCACAATTATGGCTAAAATGCTAAGCTAACTTTCAACCAGAAAATAAATATATCTATATACCAACTCTGACACCCCTACCATTGGTTGGGTCAAGACTTGAGATACACCCATCAACTTGGAACCCCTACAACTCTCTTATATTTGAACCCGTTTGCAATCCACAGATATACCACAAAGTTAATCACGCTAAGCACTGCCAAGAGCCAATAGAAGTAGTCCAGGTGGCCTCTGTTCAAATTGTCTGGAATCCAGCCAACCTTACCATTCCTAGTGGTCACTTTAGTGATGATGGTAACAAGCAGAGTACTTAGGTAATTTCCCACTGCAACAGTCGTGAGTGACAGAGCAGAGGACATGCTCCGCATGGCATCGGGCGCCTGATCGTAGAAGAACTCCAACTGTCCAATGAAGGTAAATACCTCTGCACATCCAATGAGGAAGTACTGTGGGATCTGCCAAAAGATTGACATAGGCAAGAACTGGTTATCGTAGTAGTTGTGCTTCTTTACCATATTCAGCCTCACAACTTCCAGAATGCCAGCAGCTAACATGGCAAAGATGGAGATAACTAAACCAATTCCCATTCTTTGAAGCTGTGTGAAGCCATTTTTATGGCTTGTATGCTTTCTCGCAAGTGGCACAATAATACGATCATAGATTGGGGTCCAGAAGGTCACACTGATGGTGTCAAAAATGGAGAGGGATGCTGACGGGATCTGGAAGTGGGGACCCATGTGTGGATCCATGGTGTTACCTTGTAAAACAAACATGGTGCTTATCTGGCTATACACAGTTGAGAAGGCAATACCGCTAGCCCATATTGGGAGCAACCGTATGATGGACTTCAATTCCTCTACTTGGGTCACAGTGCAGAGTCTCCATGGATCCACAGAGGCTTTGATTTTATCTGTTTGAGTCTCCACAGCAGCCTTGTCTAGGAACCTGAATAGTACAGTTAAGCATAGTCAGATAACCTACTTAAAATTCCATAAAGATTCAATACTTGAAACGCCGGCTAATTTGAGATTTTCCCTGAAAATCATAGTTATGAAAATCAACAAAAAGGAAACTCCTCAAACAAAATATGTGTTTTTCTTTATAGGGCCCGCTTTGAGTCTTGTATGCTGATGTTATGTGCAGGACCAAAGAAAATGAGAAATTTATAACCAAGAAAGCCATATCAAATTTGCATTTTGAAAAGAAAAAAAAAATCAAATCAAAATTAAATCACTTTGTGAAGCCAACAGTACTGGAAAATCACCCCATGAAAACTAACCATGTTGGCAAATACCCCCCTGAATCTAGTTAATTGATTTTCTATATAGGATAGTTGAATATACTAAAGAGGAAATAAAAGAATATGCTACTTCTGTAGATGTAGCATGAACTAGGCATTTCACTGAATCATGGGAAATTTTGAAAACAATAAAACGAATAATAAGTGGTGAAATTTGTGGTACCAGTTCAGTTAAAATTGGCATGGGTGTTGGGTTTTGTGGTCTACTTTTTCCAAAGACATACCTCATCCCTTTTGTGTGATCAAGTTTGCGACTTCCTATAATGGCTGACTCAGCACCAGTAGTCTCATAGAGAAGATTTCCATCATCAGGAATTTTTTCCTTTATTTTCCTGAAGGATGCAACAAGTACCTGGCAAATCCGGGTCAGAGCGCTCCCTCCAGGATTCTGGTGTCGGTATAGACGTGTGCCAGAGAAGAAACTCATAACTGCAATAGCCATTGCAACTGCAGGGATGCCAAATCCCCAGCCCCAGCCTACATTCATCTGTATCCAAACCAGAACTGATGAAGCAATAAGAGCCCCAATGTTGATTGAGAAGTAAAAGAAGTTGAAGAAGGAGCTCTTCTTTTTCTTCTCATCTTCGTCATTTTCATCAAACTGATCCGCACCAAAGGATGAAACACAGGGCTTAATTCCACCCGTCCCAAGAGCAATGAGGTAAAGTGCTAAAAAGCAAATGACACTTTGTGATCCTGTTGGGTGGCAAACCATGCCATCACAGGATGGCTTTAGTCCAGGGACAGATGCTGACAGTGTTAGTAGTGTCATGCCCTACAACCAAGCAAATTCTTTTCAGTATTTTCAGAGTCAAAAGTTAGTATTCTATCTAAGACAATTCATAAACTTAATGAAGAACTGTAAAAGTAACAAGGTTGGTTACTGATAAAAAAAAGTAACAAGATTGATTCTTGAGGAATAGCCAAGACAATTGAGTCCTCAAAGCGCAATTTAGCTTTTAAGCCAGCTGGAATTAAGGCCCTTATATGCTGTAAATAAGTAAATAAATATCCAAACCATGATTCCTAAATATGCTTGAGCTAATCTTACAAGAAAATAGATGATGGAGAAACTAGCAATTGTCCAGTATCTTCCCAAGTAGGCATCCGCCAAAAAGGCCCCAACCAATGGTGTAATATAGCAGGTTCCTGCCCAATTTGTAACATTATTTGATGCAGTAACATTACTCTGGTTGAGACGAATCTGAAGATAGTTCACCAGATTGGTGCTCATCCCATAATATGCCAACCTTTCACAGCATTCATTTCCTGTTACAAAGTGTTTAACATCTCAGAATAATCGTATCCATTGAAAGAGATGGATATAGATATCACTACAGTCCATGGACAGAATGTTTAAACCATACCAAGAATGAAGAAGCAAGCCTTCCAGTTTCCAGTAGTCCTCCTAATGGCAGGTTTTTTATGGATATCTGTTGAGCCATCCTTTGTGTATATATCATCTTCTGCCATGGTTATTCACAGGCGATGATATAGCATGCAGTTTTCTGCTTATCTTTTACCTTATTTGTCTAGTCACCTACAACTTCAGTGTTCACAAAGCATCTTGTTAGAGCACTGTTTAACTAGAAGATGCACCAGGTGAATATGTGCACCACCTAAAGCTCAAGTAGAGTATTGATAGTAATGCAATTTTATAAATTTAGCCAAAACTATTCAGTTCATTTTCCTACATTATAGCATCAGCACCCAGAAAGTAAAATGAGAATACTGTTACAACATGAATAATAAAGCATAAGCAACAGAACAGAATTACCTGTTCAGAGTTTCTGCCAACAATTGTCATTTGTGTACAGTGTTTTTATGTTGTCATGTCAGACCATAAGATAATTATATCAGAAAGCTCATTGGATTGCTTGTTTACCGGTTTTACCAGGTGTGAAAATTGTCAAAAAGATGGGACTTAGAAAGCTAAGTGGTTAAATGGTAAACTAGTTAGAACACCCAATCTAATCAGAGTTTGACACTACCTGTAGTTTTTGTTATGCTTATTGGAATATAATAAAGGGAATCCTCAATGACTCAGACCATTCAGCCTAAGGTGGCATTTGGAAGTCTAAAGGCTGATTGAAATTAGATACATCTGAAATCTGAAAAGATTTTATTGAGATGAGGACTTAATTTTATGTGTGAACAATCTATGTGAAGTCTGATTAGACTATTGTGTCAGATTTGCCTACCAGAGTGTTTGGTTGCAGTTTATTGAATATGGGTATAGGGGATATTCTTGTCAATGTAAAAGTTTTATAACACTAAAAGAGCAAAGTAAGCACTTACGCACAAAACTAATAAGTATAAGTGGTGATTAATCACTTGTTGACCATAGAAAAACTGCATATGTAAGTGGGCCTACAAGTGGCATAGCCAGATGGACTCAAAGGAGGATAGTTCCTTATTGATTGGTTTCAGACATAACTGATGATAATTACAACTGATTTCTCTTGAAGATCCTTGCAGAGCAGTTGTACCACAACTGCTTCAAGCGTGATCCTAGAGGGTTACAGATGGATGGTTTCAATACTGGAAGGCTGAAAGCAATGAAAGCTCAGGGAATCATGCTAAAATATTTGAGGAATTCCAAAATATGTTAAGATAATTCATGGTCAGAACCTTGGAGAATGGGTGTGTAACAGCCGCAGAGAGTTCACACAGATGATAATATACTCAATTAAATCAAGGTTCTCCAAACTTCTAAGTTAACCACAATAAAGTTATTATTAACGGACAAAATTTTTTAATATTGATGAACCATTTTAAAAGCTTTAAAATTTCTAAATACCCATAAAATATAGATCCCATTGATAGATTGGAATTCCTCAATTTTCTTTTTTTAGCAGCACGACAGCACGAAAGACAGTCCAAACCAAAGAGCCCACACACAGATCCCTTAAAAGGTCTTTGGGGGGACTAGGAAGTCAACAGGAAGAAACACACCATTATAATATTTCCTTTATATATAAATTACAAAAAGGGCAAATTTTGAACATTATTTTCGATTAAGAAAATAAAACCTAGGTAATCTTTCACAACCTTCAAATGTACAGATTTGTCAACATACGCTTCTCAGTTTGAAACTGATAATAACAAGAAATTACTATTTACTAGCATACCAACAGGAGAAGATTAGAATATGAATCAGAGAGATAAAAAAATACTCAATAGCCAGAACGAAAAAGTACCCACATCAAGGAGCCCTCAGAATTCGTTAAACAATTGGATCATTCAGAGATGACGATTTTCTTCATCAACAATCGATTTTCACAAACAATAACAATCAACAAAACCGAAGAAGCAAATGGGTTCGGACTAAACAAAACCCGAATGCAAGCAAAACCCCTGCAACATACCTAACGAGAGAAATTAAGGACGAAGAGAATATGGACTAACCATTTAACCAAAAGCAAAAGGAGGGCTTTGATCCAACAACCCTCAAAACCCTTATCACAGGAGACTGTGGGGAAGCTACTGGGGTTGAAGAAAGAGTCCTACCCAATTTGGGTAATACGCTCTTCAATAAACGCAGAGTTTTCTTTCCACTTGTGCTGCATGGAGCAACGTCGTAGTTGTCTACTTCTCATCTTCCCTTAAATAGTCTTTCCTTGTTTAACCAGCTTACGGCGAGAGACAAACACTACTTAGTAAAAAGCAACAATGGGGACCACAGATCAGACGGCTCTCGTTGGATGCAGGTCTGACCCATGAAGGTTTTGATTGATGATGAGTTGGCAATTGGCAGGATTACCTCCGAAGACAGATAGAATCTTGGTTATCCGAGATTCCGAGTTCCATTGTTTGTTGAGATCCTGAATCTTCATTGAAGAAATAAGTCAAAAGAATACTGGATACCGACGTTACGTAACGTAAGTTATGGCAGAGGCTGACCATTCTTAGTGGATTCGGATCCGGATGCACCCTTCGCTCCAGACCAAATACTCCATGCTAAAGCGTAGTCTCTTTGGGTACTGTACTGATAGTCTGATACTAAAGCATAGCCATCATAACTCTGACTCCTTATTCTATACGTTTCATTTTACAGTTTTCTCTATGGAATCGTGATGCTTAGAATTAGACTTTAGAAGGCGTGTGTGTGAATGTAGCTTACATCCAAGCCCAATTCAAGCCCTTTTTTTTATGGTTAGTTCGTTTGACCGCAATCGAAGTTGTATTATTTTTATTCAATAATTTTACAAATTTATTAATGTAATTTAAATGAATATTAAATTGATCAACATTAGTGTTTTCGGATCAGTGTTGACCCAGATGATTGGATCGTTGGGTATAAGAACCATCCAAGCAATCGGTTCTGTTTTATCTTTAATCCGTTCTTTGGCCAAAAACTGTTGACTTAGTCAGTTATTTAATGGCCCCGGCGCTCGAACTATCAATCCATTCGATCCAAATAATAATTTTTTGACTTTTTTTATTTTTTTAATTAGAAGTTGTTCATTCGAACTGGATAATCAAACTGCTGACCTAGAAATAGGTGGCCAAAGTAGTTCCAGTTCCAGGTAGATTTTTAAAACGTTGATCAAAATTAACTTTAGTGCAATTATATAGTTGGAATAATAACAGGTAGGAAATGAATCAAAATTCAAGAAGGAATAGCGAATCATAGGTGGAGATGCTAATAAAAATCCCTCAGATTGACTTAACTCTAAATTTCCCATATTTTTTAATAGGTTAAAGTGATCAAGTGGGACGTTTTCGCATAGAATGCAAGATAACTGAACGCATATTGTCAGCTCCTCATCATAATTCATAAGTGAAATGGAATAATTGGTGACCTCATCAGCCCGGGGACATTCAATCAATGGCTATTCAGTACTGCTGCTAAGATTTGCCATGTTGCCCTATTGCAAGACCAGACATGGCCTTGTGTTTAGAGAAATTTGCTCTGTCCCATTTCAGAGATATTTAAACGGGTCATAGCACATGGATGGATTAATGACATGTTTTCATGTCTTTTTTCACCACAACATCAAAATAGCCATGCATGATCATCTGTTTCAACCTCTTCCTCTGTTTATTCTCCCTTTACTTTGGCCTTCTAATCCTTTTGAACCTCTTACATTTTTCCTGTCTTTCTCTTATTTCTAACAAATTAACCATTTAATTTGTTTCTTATGATCCTTGTCCACTGTACTCATCCATTCAACATCCTTGTATTCCAAGTGACAGTAGCCCTTAACATATAGATTAAGAACCTTCGCAAAAGTTTTCTTACTCTGATAGACTCATGTCCTCACATTCACTATTGATACTTCATTACCAAAATAGAAAAAAACTGGATTTAGTTGGCCGCATTCACGGGCTCGATTACGTTTGTTGTTGTTCATTGCAAGCCTTGACCCGGGTTTGATTATATTTGGAAGAACTCTGACTAAACCGGACAGAGGAGTGAGAAACTTGAATGATCGAGACTTTTGGATGAGAATCTAAACGCTTGGAAGAGAACCTGTTGAAGCAAAAACAAAATAAGATGAAGAATGAATATGGTGAGAAGATTTCGGTTGCTGAGCTTGCTTATTTCCGATGCAAAGATTGGTGTAAAGTTGAAGGAAGGAAACATTTTGCTTTCTTTCTTCTATAATCTCCCTTATAGAAGTAAACAAACACATGAGCGAGATGAAAAAACAACCCAAAAATCTTACCAAAGCATAAATTAAAAGGAAAACAGAGAGTCGTCACTTACCATGGATCGTCATATGTGGGTTTGTTAGCTCTCAAAACATGAGAAAACATAAGCACAGGGAGCAGCTTCTCAGTTTGTGTGTATTCAAATCAGAAGAGTAAAAAATAGGAGAAGTTGATTAGATTAGATTGAGAGGGAAGAAATAACAAATGCAAAGCTTTCATAAATGAAAAATATCCTGGAAAAGATGAGAAAAAATGTTGTTGAGAAGAGGATGGTTACCCTATTTAAATGAAGGTAAATAGTTTCGTTAGGGGAACTCTTCTCAAAGAGATGTGGTAGTCTTTACTTGGTAGTTGGTGCCCAAAACGGAAAATTTAGTTAGTTGCCACAAATTTGAAAAGTTAAAATGTGAAAAATAAGGGTTTTCACCAAGATGCTAGCATGAGGATCTCCACATCTTGGTAAGTTTCCATTTATATAGGATATGGGTTAATGAGAGATCTTTGATAACCTTGCCATATGGCTTAATGAGAGTCAAGGAGAATGCAGGGTTGGGGTAGCAAGGTGGCGTGGACTGTCTTGCATATATATATACTAAGTACAAGGCTAGTATTTTTTGATAATTTTTATTTTGTTTAAGCAAAAAAAAGTCTAACTTTTTATTATTATTTCTTTATTTTTTAAAGATTTTTTGTATTGTAATGTTAAGTTAATTAATTATTGTTGATATTATTAAGTATTTAATTAATGATTTTATTATCATAATATATTTTATAATTAAAATATTTACTATAAAAATTTAAAGATCAATCAAAATGTAATATTTACTTAATTATTTAATTAAATATTAATATTATTGTTAATTAGTAATGGTGATGATTATTTTCTTATATTCTTATTAATAATTAGTATTTAATTACTTAGTATTGTTATATATATATATATATATATATATATATATATATATATATATATACTAAGTACAAGGCTAGTATTTTTTAATAATTTTTATTTTGTTTAAGAAAAAAAAGTCTAACTTTTTTATTATTATTTCTTTATTTTTTAAAGATTATTTGTATTGTAATGTTAAGTTAATTAATTATTGTTGATATTATTAAGTATTTAATTAATGATTTTATTGTCATAATAATTATTATAATTAAAATCTTTACTATAAAAATTTAAAGATCAATCAAAATGTAATATTTACTTAATTATTTAATTAAAGATTAATATTATTGTTAATTAGTAATGGAGATGATTATTTTCTTATATTCTTATTAATAATTAGTATTTAATTACTTAGTATTGTTGTTATAATAGATTTTCTAATTACACTAAATTCTAGTAATTTATAACTTTGATGCACAATCATTTTTTGAACCATAGGGCTCTTAATTAAAATTAAAATTTGTTTGTGACCGAAAGTAACCACTTAGACAATTTTTTAGGAGTGGATGAACCCACTTCTGGGATGTTGTCATGGCCCCCCTATGCCTTGAAAATCCCTACAATACCCATTTTAACTTTACCTATATTTTTGTCCCCCTACCTATATTTACTAACTTTTGAATCATATTTCTTGAATTAATAGGATGCCACATGTCTGAAAGGGGAGGACTCTAGCTCGACGACCTTCCTTTAAACGTTTATCTATACTATCTTACTTTAAACGTTTATTGCTTTCCACTTCAAATTAACACCCATAAAAATATGCCACATCAACATTCCATTTCAAGAAATGTTGGGGCGTTAGGGGAAACGAAAATTTGACGTTTCCCAAATGCCCATGCACAAAAAACCAAGCATTTCAGTTTCTTAGATGGCGTTTGATAACACTTTTCAGACTTTTGAAGTCTAAAAATGTTGCTTTTCAGACACCACCTATGTTTGGGTTGAGTCTGGAAAAAGGATCTGAAATGCATTTTCAGATCTGAATTTGTAAGAGGCAGGCTAATGACTTAACGCACTTAGACGTTTTTTCAGACCGCGCTAAAAGTCAAAAATGCCCATTCTCATTATGTCTCTCTCTCTCTCTCTCTCTCTCTCTCTCTCTCTTCTTCTTCTTCTTCTTCTTCTTCTTCTCCACTCGACGGTGAACCAACGGCACAAGCTTCTCCCTCCACCCTTCTCTCTCTCTCAATAGCGGCATTTGATTTCTCTCTCTCTCTCTCTTTGTCTCTCTCTCATAGCAGCGGCCCTGTCTCAACAATGACGTTCGATTTTATAATTTTTATTTGTATTAATTACTAATTATTTTATTTTTATTAATTATTAAATATTTAATAGTTTTAATTTAATAATTTGATAATTATTAATATTTTTTCATTGCTTCATGGTCTTTATTACTATTTTCATTATTATTTTAACTTTTAATAATTTATTTTTTAATTTATAAATTTATATGTATTTTCAATTTTATTCTTATTTTAATAATTTTATAATTTATCATAATTTATTCATATTTTTCAATATTATTTTGAACTTAATAAATTATACTTTATGAAATATACAAATTGAATTCAAAATTACCAAATAGTTTGTTCTAGGGGTAAAATAGTAAAATTAAGGAATTTCAGATGCTGAAGGTTTGATCCAACACAAACAACCTTCTCTATTCAGAGCCTCTAAAAAGTCGAAAAGCACTTGTCTCTTTTCATATTTCAGACACTTTTAATATCTTTTTAACTTTTTCATATTTCAGATTTCAGATTTATCAAATGCCAACTTATTATTTATTTGATAAATGGTGAAACCAAACAGTGGTTTCATATGCAATAAACACAAATGCCCTTGTGGTGCTGATGTAGCTATGTTTTTTCAATAAATGCCAACCGAACCAAGCATCACCTTACTCAGGTCTAGGGACAAAGCATTACTTAATGCAGTCTGGGCCCTCATAACTTACTATGTCGCAAATGATATAGGCCCTCATAGTCATAAAAAAGGCCTATATAAAAAATCAGCATGATCAAGTTCTTAGGCCATCTGATACATAGCTTCATTTTCATTTTCAGAGCTTTTCAACAGTTAAAGTAGAACTTTTGGTCACCATCCAAATATTTGTTTTACAGGGGAGAAATTAAGATGATTTTATGCTTTATCAGGGGTATGTCCACTTCATGGTTGTGCTTATGTTTAACCTGGTTCACAAAGCTCATTAGACCAAAATGGGTGTTAGAATGTGTTGTCACTATTCCAGAATTAACAAAGTACAACACAACTTTTTGTGACGTTTTTCAACCTGGCAACTAGGTTGGATCTGGTTTAGACTGGGTGAACTAGTCCCAAACCGATTATTAATCAGTTCTATAAGATATACATAGAACTGTCTCAATTATTAATCTGGATAATTGGGTCTGACCCAAGTATATTTGACATCTATAATTATCTATGGTAATAACAAATTCAAAACTTCATTTTTGATAACATAACCTAGTAAAATAGTAAGCTGTTTTTATATTGATAAATAAAGTGTTTTAACCAAAATTATCTTATATATTGTATATGAAATTTACCCTTTTCAGCATAAAATATAATAAAAATTACAAAAACTGGATAATTGCCTATGAAATTCACCCTAGTATATTTATGTGTACCTTAATGTAGGGCCACAAATGGATCAAAATCTGAGTTGGATATGGGTAGATCCAAATTTATTCATTATATTCAAATTCAAATTGGATCTCATCCATTTCATTTATATGAGATTGTAATTGGTTATTGAATAGTATAAAAGTTAAATTAAAAAATATTTAAGATATCTTGTATGATTAATAAAATGAACAAAAAATGACTTTAATATTGTGTTTCATGAACAAAATGAATTGAAAATTACTTATATGAAAATCTATAAACCTATGGCAGTTTAGTAAAAACATAACATTGAAATCAACTTCACTAAGTATATGCGAGCACATATTTAAATCAAATCGAATCATAGAGGAATGGATCTATATTTAATCCAATTATAAATGGATGGAATTTGGATAACCTTTAATGGGAGTGAGTTCAAATTCGAATTCGGACAATTGGATATTGTTTGCAGCCAAAGGACAAGAATTATGACTCTACTGTAGTTTGCAATTTGTAATATTCAATATTCAAAAAACTAATTAAAGATGATTTGGGATACTTGGTACTTGCATCCATAAAATAGGCAACCTCGTCTACATTTTGAAGGATTCCTTGTTGATGCTAGCATCAATTGCTCAAAACCAAAGATACCTTTAGTTGTTCAATTAAACTTCCTGAAACTGACTGCATGGTAAGGACCGTACTACAGTGCTCCCTGATTACGAATAAAACCCACTTTTCATCACAAGACCATGAGCTCAAAATGCTTTAGAGCTGAATTGGTTCCTAAAAATAAACCAAACCCATTGATGAAAGGCTTTCTCTCTCTCTCTCTGATTTTCAAGAGTTACTGGAATCTCAAATAAAAAGAAATAACTTTTGTCCTTGTAATAGAACCCAGACTGTAATTGCATATACTTTGATAACCCAGTTGAGAATCCATTTTGTTATGGAACTCCCTTCACTTTAGGAATTCAACAAGGGAAATATTTTTCAGCTTCACTAGAAAAGTAAACAATAACACCTGAGAAATTTACAAACACTGAGCCCTTCACAGCCCAAAACAAGACAACTATTCCACACATTGCTCATACCAAATAGATGAGAAGATCATGACACTGATATCAGCGCAAGGTCCCTACTGCCCTCTTGTATGTGAACCACCTCGCAACCAAGAGATAAGCTCCCAAGTTCAGCACACTCAATATGGCCAAGAGCCAAAAGAAGTAGTGGAGATGGCCCTTGTTCAAGTTGTCTGGTATCCAGCCAAGCTTCCCATGCCTTGTGGTCACATCAGTAACAATGGTAACAAGTAGAGTGCTCAAATAGTTTCCTAGTGCAACTGTGGTAAGGGAGATTGCAGAGGACAAACTCCTTAGAGCATCAGGTGCTTGTTCATAAAAGAATTCCAACTGGCCAATAAAGGTGAACACCTCAGCACATCCTACAAGGAAGTATTGAGGGACCTGCCAAAATATTGACATGGGCACATGATCAAGGTCATAGTAGTTGTGCCTTCTCACCATTCGGAGTCTCACTAGCTCCAGAATGCCAGCAGACAACATGGCAAAGATGGAGATGACAAGACCAATTCCCATCCTTTGGAGTTGAGTAAAACCGTTTTTGTGGCCAGTGAATTTTCTGGCATATGGAACAATGATGCGGTCATAGATAGGGACCCAGAATATAACACTGATGGTGTCAAAGATGGACAGTGAGGCTGAGGGGATCTGAAAATGAGGGCCCATGTGAAGGTCCATAGTGTTGCCTTGCAAGACAAACAAGGTGCCCATCTGACTGTATACAGTTGAAAACATGATGCCAGTGGCCCAAATAGGAAGCAACCGTATAATGGCCTTGAGTTCCTCAACTTGGGTAACTGTGCAGAGTCTCCATGGATTCGCAAAGCCCTTTATATGATCTGTCTCTGTCTGCACTGCTGCTTTGTCAAGGAAACTGAGCAGGAAAAAAAAAAAAAAAACTAGTTAGAGACTCAAAACTAGTGGCTTTCAAAACAAGAAGCAAATGCACCAAAGAAAATATGCTCAAAACTCATTTTCCATGAAAGTATAACTAAAGCCCAACCATTGACATTTGGTTTGCAGAAATTGATTCAATCACTTGATAAGCCATAGAATCTGTAGAACATTCTGTAAGGCAAGGAAAGGGTCTTTGGGCTTAAAAGGTGAGTAATAGGATCAATTATGATATCTTGCAAGAACACATGATGACTTGGTAGAGTTACCTTTGACTCAGGGGAATTGGAATCCTGAATAAAATTTAGAAGTAATTTAAACTTGAACAAGTGCTAGAAATTTATCCTTATTCATTGAACTTAAGGATAAACTTGAACTCATAAAAAGTTATTAACCATATATCCCAAGTCTCCTAAGTCCTAACCATGGTTTCATTACAGTTACCTGAATTGTTCTGTATAATCGAGTTTGCGACTTCCCTTGACAACAGATTCAACATCTGCAGTCTCATAAAGAAGAGACTTGTCAGATGGCACTTTAACTTGAAATTTCCGAAAGGATGCAACCACCACCTGGCAGAAGCGTGTCAGGGGGCTGCCCCCAGGCTTCTGGTTCCGATACAACCGGGTACCAGAGAAGAAACTCATAACTGCAATTGCCATTGCCACTGCTGGAATGCCAAATCCCCATCCCCAGCCAACATTCGTTTGTATCCACACCAGAACAGAGGCGGCGAGGAGGGCACCAATGTTGATTGAAAAATAGAACCAATTAAAGAAAGAACTCTTATATTTCTTCTCAACCTCATCAGTATCATCAAACTGATCTGCACCAAAGGATGAAACACATGGCTTAATCCCTCCTGTCCCCAGAGCAACCAGGTAAAGCGCGACAAAGCAAACTGCACTTTGTGCCTCCGTTGGGTGGCAAACATCTTTTTCACAATTTGGTTTTAATCCACGGACAGATGCTGACAATGTCAACAATGTCATCCCCTGCAACCAATGAAAGCTTTTAGTACTTTTCTTTTTTTGGAGATAAATCAAGGCTTATCAGAAAATAGCATGCTCAAATTCCACCAAGAATTCTAAAAATACAGAGGGTCAACTCAACTTTTCAAGACCTGGTTTGAGTTAAGAGGATTTCTTGATTTGTTTAACACCTTTAGTTATAAAATTTCATCCAGTGCTTGACCAAGATGCATTCTCAATATTTAAACATTTTAACAAGGTTTTGATTAAATCTCTCTTACACAAACATAGATGATGGAGAAACTGGCAATCGTCCAGTATCTTCCCAAGTAAGAATCTGCTAGAAAGGCTCCAATCAGTGGTGTGATGTAGCATGTGCCAGACCAATTTGTGACATTATTTGCTGCAACAACATTATGTTGGTGGAGTTGAAATTTGAGATAATTCACCAGATTGGTGCTCATCCCATAGTATGCAAGTCGTTCACAGCATTCATTGCCTGTTAAAAACTCAAAACATAAGCATCTTCCAATGACAAAATTTCAGAGCAAGAATTGGAGATGGATTTTAATATCCAGTATGAATAGCACAAGCAAATACCTAGGATATAGGGGCAAGCTTTCCAGGTTCCTGTTTCCTTTTTGATAGCAGGTTTGTTTCGGAAATCTGTTGTGCCATCTTTAGTATATATATCTTCCTCTGCCATGGTTTCTGGAGATAGGTTATGTTCTTCAATCAGTTTTCTAACTTGGTACTTCACCTACAACTTCAACATTTTGATGCCCTCAATCATCAGAAGTCCTAAAAGGTAACAGTGCCAAGCACATCGAGTATGCATCAAACTCAACCTCTGGCCAATAAATGGTGAATGACTTATCACCTTATGAACATAGATAAGTGCCATTAGCTTATGCAAGTAAGATAAACCAGAGTTGAAAATTTTCCAAGCACATAAATATGTCATCATAAATAAATACCTATAGCAGGTGTTGTTTATAGTTGAACATTTGAAATATCATTCAATAACTCTATCAGAACCTTCAACTGGCAGAAATAGCATATAGCCCAACTACTTGGTAGGACAGATTTACTCATAAGCAGAACTAAACACTTCGTTAAAGACTTCTACTCTCAGTCCCATATAAGTAACAGAAGAAAATTATCTGATGATGGTGAGACTAGGATGCAGATTTCTATTGTAATGTACCAAGAGTACATGATTGCATCTAAAAGATGACAGAGCTGTGAATGAAGCTTTTTTTAGAAATAACTCTGCAACCATCCATAGCCAGAATTCAAAGCCCTTGTGAACATGGATCCTGAATTAGATATGGTACCGAATAGAGCAGAATGAAGAACAGGGTTCATGTATCCAACCCCATAATAGTTGAGACAAGGCTGGTTGAGTTGAAGCTTTTTTAAAGATCCTTAAATGTTTCAAAGAGATGGTGTCAGAGGTTGAGGAACTTCTGTAAAAAGGCATTCTCCAAAGGATCCAGATAAAAATCAAAATACTGGGTGAGGTTTATGTCCTATCAATCCATAGATGGAGAGTTTTGTCAATTGACCGGAAGTCTACAAATTCTTGAACCTATTTGATCTTTACAACACAATAAAAGACGTTCTACTTGCAAGAAATCAGATGTGTAACGCTAATATCAAGTGTTAGATAAGAACGAAAAAAAACAACAGAAAATGAAGGGGAAGAAGGTGGGGGACGGAGCCCAAAAATTTCTTGGAGAAGTGGTGGTAGTGAAACCCAATTAAGAAATGATACATCAAATCAACCTCAATTACATAAAACCCATAGCTTCCACACTTGAAATTATACAAAGGTAAAACAAAACTACAAAACATTCTGGGTACCTCCATAACCTTCAAATCAACAGATTTGTTTTCATTACAACACTAATCCACCGAACAAGCATGAAGAAAAGGGACCCTTACCTAATGCAAAATGTATGTGGAACTTGAGTGTACCAGAAGAACAGAGGAACAACCCAAGTAGCCACAGGCTCACAGCAATGCCTTAAATCCACTTTCCACAAGTGATGCTGTTGGAGTTGAAAAGGTTGGTCTACTTTTCCGATAGATATTTCGTGTAGATAAAAAACTGGTGGTGAAACAATAATAAGAAGACTTTGGCGCGTCAACAAAGACAGGCAAATTATTGGGCAAATAGAACAAAAACAACTTTCGCAGAGAGAGAGAGAGAGAGAGAGAGAGAGAGTCATGCTAGTGGTATCCAGAGTCCAGAGTCTGAGACTAATAAGATCCAGAATCCGTGTGAACGGAAATCCAGATATGGGCTCCCCCGGGATTTGACAGTATTAGCTGTCCACTGTCCTGATTCCTCAATTAAATAGAAGACCCCCATCCAGATTCCAGATGACAAGTTTATAACAGTAGAGTCAGCTTCAATTTTCAAGCTTTTATTCTTCTTGCTGTCGCCTTCGTCGTTGATGTCGTTTATATCTAATTCCCAGACCAATAAGCAAAAAGTTGGGGAGAAAATTACCAAAGCAAAAAAGGAGGCCACGATTTTGGAGCTGAGTTATCTGGGTCATTACAGTTTCAAAGCAATGGGCTCACAGCTCACTCGCATCACATAGGAATGCAAACCTAAATTTTCAAATCCGAAGTCAAATTTCAACATCATCTGAATTCTGAAGCATCACAGTTCCCACTATAAAGAAAAGAAAAATAAGATATCGATATTATGTTTATCTGTTACCGAGTTGTAGGTTGCGTGTAACTCTGAAGCTGTTTTGCTTCAATCCAGCCCAAGAAAAACAAATATAATTATTAACAATGACCCAAGCATGAGAACATAACAAAGGATCAGAAAACACAAGACGAAACACATGGTGAGAAGCAAATGGCGTTTGATGATGTCAAAGCTTCGATGGTGGCTTCCTTAAGTGTCAAGGCTTCTTTCGGTTTTTTTCTTGGAGGCAGTAAATCAGTCATGGCGTTTGCTGGGGTGTGAAAGGTGGTCAATGCTCAGCTGGTTCCCCTTTAGAGGCTGAAGCTAATGCCCTTTTTGAATTGAAGCTATGTCATTTGTCAATGATCTTGGATTGGCAAAATGTCTATAGCGAATAGGATAACCAGACTTTAGTTATTTGTACTTTTAGGAGAAGAAGAGAATTGCCACCATGATATTCTGTTTTTATGTAAAGATATCAAGGTTTTTTGTGCAGATAAAGCCTTGAAAGTCCATTGGGGCCTTTGTGAATCAAATGGAGCTGCCAGAGGAGGTCTGAGGATGGAATTTTAATTCAAGAATGCCATTCGGCTATTCCTTCGTGACTTTCAGATGTTCTGTGTTTGGATATTTTTAGGTTGCAGCTTGTTAGTGGTTTGGACTTTGGATGCTTCTGGAGTTGGTGGTAGTTAGTACTTGGTGGTGGTTTGTTTTCAGGAACTCGGCTTCAGTCAGTGCAAGGCCCATTCGAACAGTCTTTAGGGCCTTGCATTGGGAATATCTCCACATGAAATAAAGTGTAATAAGTACGGACTACGGAGATATTCCCAGTGCAAGGCTGAAAAGGCTGTGGCTTATGTTTTTGTTTAACTGTTCTCTCTGTGGTCTGTGCTCTGTTGTAGTTCTGTTTCTGTTGAATGAAAAATTATCAAATAACAATTATTTGGGAAATCAATAAAAATTTCTGTCGGGGAATAGACAATAAAAAGGCCTTATTTTTATTGGGCCATTTTTTAGACATCCCTATATTTCTACATATTTATCTTTGCTTCATGGAGCTATTATACAATGGGGTAGCTTGGATCCCAAATGGAGACTACAAATAGTAATTAATCTTTCATTAGCTACTGTTAGTATGTTCATTTGGGAATGATGATGTGACATCCTAAATGTGAAAGGTCATGGTCCTATAGCTTTTTTTTTTTTTTTAATTTCAAAATCACCCTCTCATATCAACCTTTTAGAAACAAAACATGGGACAATTTTGACATTTGCCTTTCATCTTCTTTTCATTAATAAGGTTGGACAGATGTTAGGGTCAAAAACATCCTTTCTTTCTTCTATGTAAGAAAAACAGTGATAAGTAATGAATTGCAAACGATAGGGGTATTTTAATAATACACAAACTATGAGATAGCTTTTAGTAGAAGTGGCCTTGAGTCGAGCTCTTTACGAGTTATTCGAGTTTGGGTCGGTTTCAATCGAGTTTCGAGTCGAGTTTGAATATATATATAATTAAACTATAGAAAATAATATATATAATAAAAATATTATAATTCTTACTTTATAAAACATTTTTTTTCAAATCGAATTCGAGCCAAGCCGAACTCGAGTTTAACATTTTTGACTTGAGCCGAGCTCGAGCTCAAGGAACTAGCTCGAACTGAGCTTGAGCCTTGTACTACCTTGACGAGCCGAGCTCGAACCTCATACTATTCACCTCAGCTCGACTCGAATCCACCCCTAGTTTTTAGTGACCAGAAAATGGAACAAGAGATGGGTTATAGTAAATACATGAAACTTTAAGGAGGTGCCTAAAGGAAAAATCCAAACCCCAAAGGTATCATGGTGAGTAGACCTGTTCACAGGCAGGGCTTTGGGCCCAACTTTACAATTATCTTGGGCTTGGCCTTTTGGGCTGGGCCCATTAAAATTTTGGCAAAAGCCAAGCCCAAGCCCAGCCATGAATAGGTCTAATGGTAAGCAAGTGGGTATTTGGCATAATCTGGTGAACGCTTAAATGATTATACCCTGGTTGAACCAGAAATTTTTACATATATTTTAAACATACATTTAGGGGGCACAGGAACAAACTTATGAAACCTCAAGCTTTCCATGGTATAGTTAGTGGGCCTCACATGCAATGTTAGTAAAACAGGGTCACTTTTCGATTCAATGTCTGATCACTACAATAGGCCCCTAATAATTAGGTCACATTCGGAGTCTAATTGTTTGGTTGGGCAGAATCAAATTCCTATTTCCCATTCTTGGGTGGAATGACGTTCCCCCATGCGAGAGAACGGCTATTCCCTCCCCCTCTCTAGGGAATGAAACACCATTCTAGCGGATTCTAATTCTCATTTCAATTTCAATTTCAAAGGATTTTGATTCTGAAGACCATTTTGATTCATAGAAAGATCTCCTTAAAAAGTCAAATACACACGAAAATGTAAAGTCGTTTCTTTTATTCAGACTATTTATTGCTTAGTATGTTGTTGGCATATGCATAAAAGTGATGCATTAATAACATTAAATTATCTTTTTTTTTTAATATTAAGCTTCAATTTCACTTCATTCACACATGAGAAATGACGACAGTACAAACTACAAACCATTATCGCAATTCGCAACAAATAATATACAATTGTCTTTCAATTTCTATAGTGTAGAGAAAGAATCGCTTAGATCATGAAAATGAAAGTTAATAATAATATTAATTTAATCATTTTAATAAATATTTGTTAAATTTTTTAAGAATTAATACATGTGTAATTTTTATTTTATGTACAAGTTTGATGATAATGAAGAATCAAATGAAATTGTTTAACAATATTATAGGTCATAGAGAATTTAAGCAAAATTACTTTTTTTTTATATAAACAATACATGAATGAATTATTTTTGTTTCATCACATTAAATACATTGGCTTATTTACATAGATTATAATTTAAATAACATTTTTCTTTATTTTCCATTATTTTAATATTCTTGTTTAACAAAGCCCATGCATCATACGAAATCCAACTAGTACTAATCAATAAAATTTAATTTTTAAAAATGGTTATTAGTCATTAGATTATCTCATTGTTTCCTTTATTGTGACTATTATTTATTGCTTAGCTTCAATAATTACTTTGCTCCTTGTTGTATTTTATTTATTAGCATCTAATCACCCGTTTTCGACCGACGTGCAATTTTCTTTTCTTTTAATTTTCTTTCCATTTCTTCTTATTTTTCTGAGAATGAAAGCGAAAAGTATTTCATTAATGAAAATCGCCAAGTAAATTTGGCTACTAATGCGTTTGACCTTGACCATAACGCAAGAGCGACTATTTTAATTATTATCAGTCTGAGTGAAGCTAGCAAATATCGGATCTAACCCGCTCCATAACATGCCCCAGTTTAATCAACCTTGACATGGATCATTTATTATTTGAACAAATGGAATCATCATGACCAAAACACCACCTAGTCAATGGAGTATGGATTGGTAATGATAATTTTTGTTTTTGTTTAAGGGATAATGCTGGTTGTTTTTAATCCTTTAATAATAAAGCCTCCTGTCCTATTGGTGGGATCTCCATAATTCTAATGAAGTGGACATCCCTCTTATTGATACCTTGCTTCTCTTTTACAGCATAAACCGTTATGTGAAGGTGACAGAGATTCAATTCCAAGTTAGGGTCCAGAAGATCTCTCTCTCTCTCCAACTTTGGCTGTCCAATGGACGGCCTCTACTTCTACAGGGTTTGATGCATTAGTTCATGTTGTCATGCTTTCATCAATGTTACTCTTACATGAATTTCATAAGACTAACGTGTTGGGCAGGGAAAGCCCTATCAAAACGGTAGAGGTCCCCCACTCTTCCCATGGGGTGCATGTCTGGGCATACATCCGGAGCATCTTTCGTACTTGTCATTGAAAGTTGTTTTCAATACATGATTGAGATGTGTTGTAGGGCGTGCCATATGGGACATTTTTATAAATTCCACTCTTTCTATTTGTTTTCTTTTCTCTTAATTTGTCCCACTCTAATGTGGTTAATGGGCCGATGA